CATCCTCCATTTGCTACACTTTCCATACAAACAAAGAAAGAAGCAAAGCCAAAAGATAATTGTTCTATACATGACAAAGAAAAATAGTTAGAAGGACAATAGATGCTATGATGACATTCAGAGAAATGTTCTCAGAAAGGAAGCACAAGCCAATTAAGAGGCAGTTTATCCCCAGCAAGCTGTTCTACTATTCTGAACTCAGAAATCCCATTTTTTTAAAAGGAAAGACAACCTCCTCCTTCCCCCCCCCCCCCAAACCGCCTGAAAAAAAAGCAAACCTGCAACAAGAAAACTTTTAAATTCTTTTACAAATTGTACATGTGCCTACATGATGTATTTTTTCTTGCTTTTTTTCAACACTCAGAATTGAAATTTCGACAAATATGCATGAGCACAGTCATCCCATACTGGAAATTAAGAAACTGTGATTAAAAAACCCATTTATTTTAAAATTGTGGGTTTTGTACGTTTGAAAAGCTGGTCATTTATACAATGATAGGTTGCAGAAGACAAGACATTCAAATAACTTCACGGGAAGGCAAGAGCCACACCCTGTATTTAATTCCTTTCCTGGGAGAAAACTCTTCCTACTCTTGAACAAGGACCCCAAGCTCAACTGTAAGGGCCATCTAAACTGTGATGATACTCTCACGAGAACATTTCTCCAGACAGACCAATGGTCAGACTATAATCAACTACACATAAAATTTTAAAGCTCGACTCCATAACCAATTTCAAGGTGCTGTTCACAAAATTACTCTCTTGCAATGTCTTCTATATTATCCTTACCAACAATCCAAATTTGAAAAAGAAAAAAAAATACGGTTGTCTTGAGACTGAAAGAATACTCTTTGCATTCACTGACATCTCATTTTTTTTTTAAATGAAAAAAAAAGCCCTCACCAAACCATACATTAATAAGTTTCAAATAGAACTTTCTTCTTTAGAAGATAGGCATACGCTTTAATTAAATAAGACCTTTTAAAATTTAATCAATTTTTGTAAACCACCTCCTGACCAGCTTGTGAACAAAATAAGTATAAAAGAGACATGAAGAGAGACATCAGATTACAAGGAAGACAAGATGAGAGGAAATGTGAAAAAGTTATTATAATCAACAGGCAGACTTTGAAGGATGGGATTTGATTGTTTTTCTTCATCTTACGAAGACGTTAACAAAGATTGGAAAGCACAAAAGTTCAACAATGTAAATGCTCTTTTGCCTTGAAGTAAATAATGTGAACATTTTTACAGATGATATAAATGAACAGATAGAAAGAAGAAGCAACTTTACCAAATGCTTGGGTATGGAGCTGTAATTGTAATCTAAATTTATTTATGCAATAAAATAATATTTCAGATGAAAAAAAATACCTCCTCCCAAAAAATGATATGTAATTCATAATGACAATTTACATCCAATAACCTTTTCAAGGGCACCGAATTCACATATATGGAATCATATCAGGAGAAGAGCAACGCAAATCTTTATTAAGTTGGATTCCAGTTAACATCTCCTTTAAAATTCCCCTCTATTAAATGTGAGGCAAAAATATTCATGCACAGAAAATCACCAAGGGTACCGGCTAATATTTTGCCTTTTGGATAAAAAAAACTTTAATTATCATAATTTTATATTAATTTTACTGTATATTATCAAACATGCTGAAGTTAAATCAAAATACAGATGTAAAAAAAAAAGAGTTTCTAAAATTCAGAAAAGCCTGCTCCTTCAAGATTCACAAATATCAAAGACAGTATACTGAAAATTGACACCAAGAAATGGACAGTTGATTTGCATTGTTCTTCAATAGAATTGAACCTTTGGTTGTATCCTGAGAATGTCTGAAAACATATACATGAGTCCAAAATATTCTTTTAATAAAAGTGATATGTACTTTCTCTTCACAAAGTGAATCAAGATGAGAGAAACATTCTGTACACACAGTTCACATCAAACAGAAATGATTGTTATGGTGCAAACCATACATCAAAAATTCTTTCAATTCAACAGACTTTCATAGCCATCATTCATAAACAGCTTGTTACTGTCCTTTTCACCCTTAATAGACATGAATATTGAAAGAATCTGCATTTGGTACCATTACTACAAAATACAAAAACTCCCAGACACTTTGGAAAAACCAAGTAAACAATACCTTTGCTGTCATGCAGCAGTCGACATGTTATAAAACCACTAACCCACTCAGGTCATCCGTTACCGGTAGGCCTAGACCTATATGACAAGACTCTGCCAACATGTAGAATAAGATTTCCCTGTCTCGTTTACTGCAAATATTACTTTGTCTCTCTAGCCATGTTGTAAATGAAACAATTTTAACAAGAATTGCTGTAACGCTGAGTTGACTGCAAGAAGGTTTCAAAATTGACTTCAACTGTAACAATTTTCAGACTACAGCTCCATTTTCTCGTAGAGAACAAAAACATGACAGGGTATTGGGGCTAATTCTTGCAGGAACAGGTTTCTCTTTCTTCGGAAGTCTTGATATGAATCATGGCTCAAAAGGTGATCAATGAAATCTATGCTTGAACATCGTTAATGATTTGCTGAGTGGATGACAAATTTGATTAAAAAATCAACTCGTTGGAAATTGTAGTATCAACAAACTGCAATACATATTTAAAGACAAAACTTTTCAAACACACCGTTTTTGCTCTTAACACGGAGGCTGATATAGATCTGGATCTGTTATAAAAAAACTTGGAAACAGATGATTCAATAACTTGATTAAATGAAGAAACAGAAAATCAACTTACATAAAAATGTTGATAATGTTACATAAAAGTCCCACATTTCAACAACGAAAAACTGTCCAAAACCAAACCACCAGATGCTCCAGGTAAAGCGGGCATGACCTTGTCTGGTAAAACAGCATCAAACAAACTATTTTGCTGTTCCTTCCTCTGATTGCAAAGCTGTGGATGATAATGCCTTTTATCAAGCACCTTTTATTTTGTATTTGGGTTGACTAACTACCTTGAGCTCCATTCTCAAAACTTTACTGAGGGGAAGAAAAAAACTCACTGTTTGAAACAGACTCTAAAATTACAACAACAAAAAAACAAGCAACTGTCAAAAAAATAACACTATCCCCTGTTTTTGTTGGCCATTAAAAAAAAAAATTACTTTGACACAAGAACTCTCACATATAAATATTGTAAGTTTATTTAACGATTTTGATAATGGACACCAATTACCAGGAGGCTAGTTAATAAGAATTACAGAACAAAAAAATCCCTCAGTAATTTAAAGTGTAAAATATTATAAATACAGTTGGGAACAGGCATCAAAATAGGAAATATATGGCAAAAATGTGGTGGCTAAAAAAGAAAGCTTTAAAGGTGACCTCACAACTTCAATCAAATATATAACATTACAAAGGTAGCGGTGAAAACAGTTCCACCCCCATCCCCCCGCACTACCCCTCTTCAGTCCACCTCTCTCACTTTACTTCTCTCCCAGACCTCTGTACAAAGCCCCACAATTAACATGTACAAAGGAATAAAAACATAGTGTCATAGAACGTACCACATTGTAACATAACCTTTCAACCACACAACATTATTCTGTGACTGATTAATTAACCACTTTATGTTTTTGGTTGTTCATGGAATCCTATATGAAAACAACAGAAGTTTCTGGACCTTCCAGTCAATGCTAAATACTGTTTCAGCCTGGACACTGGCTAATGATTGGCATGAAGATTTGTCTACGAGGAAGCAGGTTCCAAGCCTGTGTATCCCAAGGGAGACGCAAAAGAATCTAAACTCAATCTTCTTACCAAGGAGATAAGTCTGGAGGAAAATCCAAATGGACTTTGAAGATAATTGCAGAATGACAATAGGTGCCTTCTTGAAGATATTTCTAAACCTTAACAAGGCTACGTAATTATAGCTTGGTCTATGTCTTCAAATTTTCAAATTAAACTTTAAAAGGAACTCACATAATTAGGCCTACATATAGCTGAGTTTTAACAGGAACAGCCGTGTATTCAGGTCTACAACAGAAGTAGTTATTGATGCAAATATTTGCACCCAAGTTCATATATTTTAGGTAATTTGGGAGGCAGGAAAATAGGAGTAAATTCAGAATCAAACCATTTTCATTGAGAGACTACATTCTTTACAGATATGATTTTGAAAATTTATGTTGTCAAGAGATCTCCTTGGCAAAGAAGATAATGAAACCTATTTTCAAGATGATTTGATACCAGTCTTTTAATTCTTCAACTAAAATTCATAATTGCAATTCAATAAACTGACTTCTTCAGAAAAAGTCCTCTTCTAACACTCCATTGAGTTCATAAGTAAGAACAACCAAAGTGTATAAAAATGGTCCAGAACATGGCCTTTAATTTACCCCTATGCGAAAAGAACCAGGTATCTTCTAAGCTTATTTCATCTCAAAAATTTTTTTTTTTTTACTGTCAGTTAACATGCTGCTGCCTTACATATGGATAATTATAAAGCGGTGGGGAAAAAAATTAAGAAAGTTCAATTTCATTGTCAAAAACGCTTGAAAAGCAAACAACTCTGAAACAAATGTTATAAGTTTTGCTAAAGCGAATCAGAAAGCATCACTGTCAGGGAATATGCTTTATGTATTTTCTCTCAAAGATTTATAGTACGATGAATTGTTACAAATCACAATTCATATCAACTCATCCTTTTGATGACAACACATGATTTTTCAGAAAGGCATATTTACAGACCTTGGATCAGCTGACCAGTTTACGATAGCAAAGAGCAGAATGAATACAACTTATGAAAACAATTTGAAAAATCACTTTTTTTCTCTCCAATCAAAGTAATGGAAGAAAGAAAAGTGTGAAACATTTTTACACAAAGCATTGAAATGTGCTCCTAATCTAGGCCTTTTTCCCTTAACGAAACAGCATGCAAAGAAATGGATGTAACAAAGCATGAAAGTTGGCTTTACAAACTAAGAAAGTAGAAAGTACAACAATCAACAATAACAACGAGCTGGCTGTGTAACCCAGGGTTTCCAAGTATGTAGCTTGACTCAAACGATGGTATTGTGGAGCACTACTAAACATTGTAGTTGTTTATCAATCTGTTGGCAGCTCCGTCTTTGGTGTCGGGGTAGGTACCTGAAGACAAATCATCCAGGTGGATGGGTAAGTTTAAAAAAGGTGATAAAAAAAAAGAAATCATGCTGATAAAACAGTGGAATAACTCAGTCCACTAAGGTCTAGAGGCTGAAAAAAAGAAGGTAAATGAAACTTTGGCTTGGCAGTAAAGATGGAGAAATATTTGTGTTCACCAAATAAAAATAATTATTTTACAAAATTAACGTTTACTCAAATTTGTCTTTTATTCATAAGCAAAGTCTGAATTGATTACTATTCTATTAAAAATAAAATGGTGGTCTTTGCTGCTGCTTCATAAATGAGGGGGCAGAAACAGAGACCAAGAGGTCAAATGGTGGGAGATACGAGAAAGCAATTTGATTTTGCTCTGTTCAGCATGAAACATCCATAAACAGAACAGGCGGCCGGATCACACTGCCACGAAGGACATAGGCAAGTAATATTTATCATGCCACAGTCAGAATTTTAGCGGACAAATTTGGTTGGCAAAAAATACTCAGAGTTGTCTCAGAAAGAGCTTGTTCTGTCACAACAGTTTTTTAAAAGTTTTTTTTTCCCTCTGTGAAAATTCAACACCAGGAATCACAGCTATCGTAGAAAATTCATGCCTCTTAGCAATTTATAGTCCAAAGAGGAAATATATAATTCCCTGGATGAAACAAATTCCTTTCAATTTGTCCAAAATCTTTCTGAATAAACAATATTCCTGAATGATTAATCTTAACTAGTCAACATCTATAGCAGGCCAAAGCAAATTTAAAATAATTTAAAAATGATAAGTAAAAATTGACTGCAAAAATTATGCTAGTGCTTTCTGTTTCAGAAAAAATAAAAGGAACGGGGAAATGTTTATACATTTTTTTTCATTTCAAAAAGATCTGGCAAGTAATGTAAGCAGCTACAAATTTCAGTCAATAAGTTGTGACCACTCTGCCTAAAGAGACACACTCAAAATAAAAGTCAAAACAAAAGCTGGATTCCATTTGATTCAAATTTCAAATACAAAAGACCTTCATTTAGTATAACAGCAAACCCTCAGACAGGTTACTCACTAGAGTCTTATACATTTTCTTGCCAGTTTTCTTTTGAAACTATCAAGCATTAAAAAAAAACCTTTTATGTAATGCTTAAAAAACAAACTTCAGTCAAAAACCGAGTCAAAATTGCAGCCTCAGGTGCAAGGGAAGGAAAATTGCAAGAATGTATTTCTAGAGGAAGCCTTCACACATTGCGTGTAGCATTCCAAAACTAAAGAGAAAAAACTAACCTGCATTTGCTTCCAAGTCCTTTCCACTTAAAGTTTCCAAGGTAAATGAAGGAGCACAGTGTTCAGGCATGAACTTCTCCTCTTCCATTTTTTGATCGAGGATGTCAAAGAACTCATCCTCAACAAGGACAACACGCGACATATCCTCATTGGGCCTCAACTGATGTCGTTTCAAGTGTGGCTTGGTCAGATATTGCAGACGCTGAATGAAAAACATTCATATGTTTGTGAGAAAAGAAATGCATCAACACAGTGACAGCTACTAAATGTTGGGGAAAAAGAGTTAAGACAGGGGGATAGAAACAACACAGGGGATTCTCTTCTAAAATGCAGACAAGTACATGTTTGAGTGAAACAGTTGGGCCCCTCATTCCCATGTAGCAATAAGAAAAAAACAAGTGAGACAGAAAGACAGACTGACAAAAACAACTGGTTGAAACACAGGATGACAAATCTGTATTTTGTAAAATAAAGGTATTTATCCTGTCTCAACATTAGAGAAATTATCTTCTCTTTCACCTAAAATATTCCCTGATTCTAGGGAATGAACACATTTACATAATCATTTATTGATGAAGCATTGTCATATTAATCTTAAAATTCAGGAAATTTTGCAAAACTGAACCCCCAATCATTTTTTTTTTTGTGGCTCAAGAGCCAGTACATGATGTCTCCTTTTCTTCATCCCAACTCATCCAGGGTTCATCTAACTTTTCAAAAAATAAATTTTCTTTTCTTTCCTGCACTTTCCGCATAAGGTAACGAGGCTTCAGTATAGACTACAAACTGTAGTTTGTATAGAGCGGAACAGTAAAACATTGTGTGACTATTAAAAAGGAAACTGACAAAATCCAGATGCATCAATAGTGAAAAGGGCTTACTTCTATTAAAGTTCCGGGAGTGACCAAAACTCTCTGGATCATGATGATTGGGATGAAAATAATACTGATTCCAGCCAACATCCATCCCACAGCAATGGCCCAATCAGGATACTGGTAGGTCCCCGATTTTCTCTTATATGACAGTTCAGAATAACTGATGCAGCCCAGGATGAAAATAGCCTGAGGGAGGAAGAAATTAAGATACAATACATCACCACTTCACACAAAAAACTAATATATGACAAAGACAATGCTTTATAAATAACTTCAATTTTAAATATACGTTAAAAAGATGTCTACAATTTAATTCATTAAAAATGTTTTAACACACCTTTGCATTAGAGGTATTTTGGGAAAGATCTAAAACTTAATTTGAAGAACAATTTCACAGATCAATCCAATTTGGAAATATTCTAGTATATATTAAAAAGAAGTAATTTCGAGAATGTCAGGGTACAGGCAGGATAATTTCTTAAAAGTATAAACCAAAATTGTTCCCTCAAATACAAAAAATGCTTCTCATGTAAGTCAATCTTTATCTCATATCTCAAAGAGAAGGGTATGAACTCACCAGCGTAAAAACAGGAGTCAGAAACATCCAGAAAGTTTTCGTGACAGCCCTGAACACTCGGGTAAATCTTGGTCCTTGGAAGCCGAACATCGTCACCAGGTTGTCAATAAACCGGTCTATTCCTACAAAAAGAAAAAAACAAATTATCATCATAATTGATTTCTCTTAATGTGATAAATTAGACGAGAAAATCAATCCCTTATTTAATGTCAAATGTCCTGTCCCAGGAGACATTTTCCTCCCTCACCTCACCCCATACCCACCCACACCAATTCTCTTTAACTTATACTGGAGAGCTCTTGTAACTTAGAAGTAAGATTAGAAGTGTTACAAGAGAGTACCAAATACAAAAAAGAAGGAGGATAGATGAGAACGACAGATTTTTTATAGGAAAGAAGAAGCAAACCGCAAAAGAGCACCCGTCAAACATATATTCTGGCAACTTTGAAGCTTACCATAAATATATCCTACAACAAAGCATTCAATGGCAGCGACAAGTAGAACGATTCTGCTGGCAGAGTAGTAGTCAAACAGCTGGAACACATACATGCCACCCTGGGGAGATACATGACATAGAACATGGTCACTTAGTCACTGCAGGAGGCCAATATACAAATACAGTCTGGCTCGGAAAACTCAAAAACATCACGGATTGAAAAATGTGTTCAACATCCATAATTTGGGTGACTGATAATGAAAAATAAGAGACACAAGTCTGGAGAAGCTATCCATGATTTTGAGTTTTCTCTACTTTTTTTTATGGTGGCTGGAAAAAAAAAATCAAGTTATTTCTGTTCTTAATTAATTACCGTATATATAGTTTATTTGTGTAACATCCTAACCTCTTGTATTCATAAAAATGATAATGACCTTTAGAAAAATGCCAGTACCGGTACAGTACCAAAATTAGTATGTCTAGCTAGGCTACGTACAGAGTTCATTAAACACCATTTAAACACTGGTACTGGGAAACAAATAAACGCTAAAGCAACCCAAAAACTGCCTTTAACTCCATAGATGGAGTGTACAAATAGGCACTAACAAAACATCATCTTAATTCTCTTTGACAGCATGCAGAAATATACAACATGATCAAAGCATCAGAGACAAAAAAATCTTCACTTGCTGCTGCACAGAACAAATTAGGTAGTTCTCAAACTTTGCTTAATTAATCTCATAATCACAATGCCTTTGCTGGGTTTCACATTCTGCAGCAACTATACCTTACTTTCTGGAAAACAGAACAAAAACTGAAGATTTTTAATTGTTGAGAAAAAGTCTTGAACCTGTGAGAAACTAAGCACCCCTCCCCCTCTTTCTTTTTTCTCCCTACCTCCTAACCATCATGACCCTTTTGCGTTGACAAAAAAATTATAAAACCCACAAAACACTCACCTCAGTCACCATAGATAAACCTATGAGGAAGCAAATTACGCATATAATGGCAGTGAAGATCTCCTTGCGGTATTTACGTCGTAGAAACTCTGGGTGCAAATCCACACAGGCAGTGATAAAGCCCTCAACACCGACAAACTGAGGACAGACAAGAAAAAAATGAGATATAAAGTCGATTTCTTTGTCACATCTTTCTTGACTCATTGACACAGAGGAGATTTATTCCTTCAATAGCATATCTTCACAGACAAAAATAATGCTACATTGCTACTTATTGTGATTCAATTTTCTTTTAGATGATCAGTCGTACAAGCAAAAAATTCCCCAAAACAACTACAATAAAATTCTAAAAAGACCACTTCTTAGTCATACTGTGTACCATGATGCAAATTAGGAATCGCAGGTCACTGAACCAGAGAGTTGCAGCGGTAATCTTATCATAACAGGAAATAGCCGGCAACAATCAATGTGATATGTGAAGCTGTGCCTCATTAATTACTTTTTCCACTCAACACCTCTCTTTGGTTGGCATAGAGACACATCCCTCTGCCTTTGTGGCAACTGATCATGTAGCTTATCTAACCCATCATGTAGGGCCTAGCTTGTCACGTAATAAAAACCACATAAAACTCACCTGGCTGTCGAGACCAAGGAGAATGATCATGATGAAGAAGACGATGGACCAGGCAGGAGCAAGGGGCATCTGTGATACAGCCTCGGGGTAAGCGATGAAAGCCAGACCAGGACCTGGGGGGGGGGAGGTGTGTGTGTGTCTTTAGGTTTTTGTAAAACTTTTAAGGCAATTGCAACACAATTCGGTCCTAAGAGTGCGGATAATTAGAGGCGTTAAAAGAGAGTAACAAACACGATAAAGAAGGAGAGATAAGGAAGATAGATGTTTGATATGAAAGAAGGAGCGAACCACACGAGAGCACCCGCTAACCACCCTCTGAGTAGTTCAGGCAAAACACTAACAACATATAAGCAAAACAAAACAAAAATAGACAATGAAGAAGAGTAAAACATTTAGCAGTGAGCAGATAAAAGAAAAAGGCAGAAACAACACATCTAGGTTTGTGCTTCTTAAGATACCAATAATATCAATTATAAATACTTATAAATATTATGAACCTCTGCTCAATTGTATGCACACACATATTTACACAACACATAAACATAATATACTCTCACACACACACACACACACACACACACACACACACACACACACACACACACACACACACACACACAATGCACCCACTCACACACACACACACACACACACACTTGTCAATTCCGTTATTGTTACAGGAACATACAATTCTCTCATATAAGATATATATATATATATATAAAATAATTCTTATCCTTTTCTTTTCCCCTCTCCTTGATATCTTGTTTTAGTAAGTAAGAGTTTAACAGCACTTACAACACACTTAGTTAATACAAGTGCCGAAGATTAGAGGTGGTACAAGAGAGTAACAAATACAAAAGATAAGGAAGAGAGATAAGGATAATAGATGTTGGACAGGAAAGAAGGAAAGAATCACAGCTGAGCCCTCGCTAACCACCCTCTCCGTTGTATTCTTCTATTCATAGCAAGACATACCAGACTCAGCGACATCTTTGACGGACAAGTTCTGCCTGTGTGCCATGAATCCAAGAACGGAGAAGATCACAAACCCAGCCAAAATACTCGTCAGACTGTTCACAGTGGCAAATATGATGCTGTCTCTGAAAAACACAAAGGAGACAAATTGTGTCAAAACAAGCAGAAAATACACACAGATATAGGGTTTAAAAAATATAAAAAATTACAGATCGTTATGTTCTTTCACTTAGTGCCATATTTGGTCAGTCTTGATTTTTCAGTTTCCAGTAAAGAAGCAGCATACCCATGTGAAAATTGTCACTCAAAGATGGGTGAAAAGTAAGGCGGATATAAAGATGCTGTTCGTCATCTCCTCCACACACACACACATTTCCACTTTTGATAAGCATTTTATTTAAAAAGTGGGGAGATAAGTCGTGGGGGAGGGGGGGGGGCACATTGTGATTTAAAAAATAAAGAGCGACTTCACCCGAACGTTATTGATTGATAGGCATTACATCAAAAGAAAATTATTTGGCACGTAAATACTAGCATTCTTCAAGAGACCTTGTGTTTTCTTCTCATTTCACAGAAGAAAAGAAGGGATTAATGCTGACACTTGATATCACTATGATGGAACTATGGAACAAAAAAAGAATCTTCTAGTATAATATGCAATATAGAGCAATCTCAAGAACTGAGAATAATAGGTGGAATTTTGAGCTGACACATCTTTTTTATCACATTGTAGGACATGACCCAGACAATTGCCACCTTTGTTATTATTACTGTGTATTATTATAGTTATTATTACCACATTTATTGTTATTACTGCTGTTCAGACATTCTGTTGGGAAATCACACGGGACAACGCTCCATCATCACTACAATTAGAATGCTTCTCCCAGTGGAAAAGGTCGCCCTTCAGTCTGTCAGGTGTGATGACAGCTCCCAGGACATGGACTGAACTAATAATTATTGTTGACTCTGTTCTGTCACCACAATTCAAACAACCCCCCCCCCCCCAAAAAAAAAACCCCGCCTTACTTCAAATAAAAAAAAAAAGTTTAAGTTGGGAAAGCAAAGCAATTACAATTAGTTGAGTAGGTGCAAAAAAAGAAGAATAAATACATTAATATCTTATTAATGCTGAGGGACAGAACAATAATTAATACAGCTAGACAGGAAGTAACACCCACACCTGTTTACATGTAAGCCTATACACACAAACGCCCTCACATGATAGCAGGCAAACAAAACACTGTGCTTAAACTCAGCACCACTCCCCGCCCTTCAGAAACACAGAACACTTAAAATATACATGATTTATCATTTCCAAGAACACATAATAATATTTGCATAAGGCGTGCAAATATGCACACTCACTCCCTTTCACCGTCACCCCCCCTCCATCCCCCCACCACGAT